TATCGTTTTGGAGGTCATATGTATTATATATAGTAGATTTTACAAAGTATATTTGTCAGAAAACGTCTGAGTAGAAGTTAGAAGTTTTAAGAAAACTTAAATACATTGATAAAAAACAATAGAGTTGACCCCTGTATTGACGCCGTATTGTATACGGTATACAATACCCTATGTGAGTGCATTCCACTCGCTTTCTCAGCGCTCTATTCCGAAAACGATTGACTTCACAGAAAAATTCACGAGACATTTTTTGTAGATAATCGTATGAGTAATAATTCTTTTGATGAACTTTATTGATTTTTGAGCCATATGTCGCGAGATATTCGCGAAAAACTGATTTTCGTGACCTTTTGACCCTCATAACTTTTTTAACCGGCACGATATCAATGTCAATTTTTCACATCTTCATCAAAACGCCATAATGAAGGTGTATACCAAGATTCAACTCAGTAGGAATTTTAGGTTTAAAATACCTAAAATCACTGGATTGATAAATAATATTTATTCAGTGTGTCGTTCTGGAGATTTTAGACTCAAAGATGAGCCCCGAAGTGGTCGGCTTACCAGCCAGGTAGAGACTGACCCATCACGAGACCATGGCGAAAGAACTGTGCGTCAGCTCACAAACTGTTTTTGATGGTTCAAAACGTACTGGACAGGTCAAAAAGCTCAAAGAGTGGGTGCCCCACGATTCGAATAATCGATAGAAATTGTCACAATTCGATGTCTGTTCTTTTTGCTTTTACGCAACTAAAACGATTGTTTTTTGTTTGGAATAGTCACGTGTGATGAAAAGTGGATCCTCTACGGCAACAGTAGACTTTCAGGACAGTGATTGGACACCGATTTGCCACCCCGGCACCACCCAAAGGCGAAAAGCCACAAAAAAATACCATGATTACTTTATGGTGACTTCTTCGAATTCCAAGTATCCACTTTTAATGCCCACGGAACTCTGTCATAAAAGTCATAAAAACTCTGTCGAGCAAACACAATTTGAAGCTGAATCCTAGCAAAAGCCATATCATGTTCTTCGGCAACAAAAACCAAAGACAATGCTAAAGATCATATGGAACTCAAGATAGGTGACCAAATACTCAAATCGGTTGACTCTGCAAAAAACTTGGGAATCACTTTCGATCAAGATTTAAAATTCAACGCACATGTAAAACAGCTTATGATCAAATTCTATGTCACTCTCAAAGTTCTTTATCCATATAGACAAAGCTTGTCCTTTAGCACTAAAAAGCTACTTTCACAATCGCTTATCCTTTCGAAAATCAACTATGGAGACCCAGGCTATGGTCCCTTCTTGGATTCCGCAAATCAATACAAAATACAACGTGTGCAAAATTCTTGTGTTCGCTTCATTTTGGGAATACGTAAACTTGAACATATTTCCCAAGCTCGTTTGGGTATCAATGTCCGTTCTCAGGGAATATAACTACTGCAATATCACCTATTCAGTACTGAATTCTAAAATACCTGTTTCTCCATTCAATAAATTGACAAAGAGGTTAGAGCTCCATCCCTTCAACCTTCGAACTAACTAAAACTCACACATCCCTCGTCATTCGTCAGCCAAATTCAGAAAATAATGTTCCTTCCTTGCTGTATTTTTTCATAGTACGATTACTAAAGAATTCATCAAATTTTCGAAATCCACATTCAAAAAGAACCTAAAAGCAGAATTCAATATATTATCAGAAGAATTAAATGTATACATCAAACTATGATCTTGTTGTATACTCCTAACAATTATTTTCATCATACAATCTATTTTTATTTGTTCCAGTTTATTTTTAATTTTTTTTCTTATAATGCATATTAGGTTAAGTGTAAGAGTAGCTAATAGGTAAANGTATAGTTTACTTTTCTTATCGTGTATATGTATTTATTGGCTTCTCAAGGGGGCTGTGGAAGAATTGGCTGCAGAGTCTAACTGCTCTCCTTTTATTTACCTGCATTTGATACTTTTGTTTTGTAAAGTTATTTTGTATTATTTTTATGTACTGGTAAATAATAAATGTATTATTATTATTATTATTATTAACTATTGACTGGTGTCACGATATCAAAAGTATACGGATTCAGATGGCGACACTTTCGATTGAATTGAATGAGTATTCACTGAAATACTATAGTTCGGAGTAGACTCATGGAAATGGATAATAAACTCTTCAGAATTCCATATCCCAAGCAGTTTGGAGGTACACTTTTTGGTATATCCTCAAGAACTCTCAGCAATTTGGTTTTTATCTCGTCAATCGTCTTAAAACATCGTCCTTTCATGGATCTCTCCAATTTTGGGAACTGGTAAAATCACAGGACACCAAATGTGGTGAATAAGGTGGCTGAGGCATGATTTCTCGACCTTCTAAGAAAAGCTTGTACCACTTGTTAATATTTGACTCAGCGTACAATAACCGTATGGGACTGTCAATGTTTCTAGTGTTTTTAGCACTAAATTCCATTCCCAAGACAAAATTTGATCCAATTCTCTGGTCCATTTTCTCGATAACAGAAAATCGCTGACTACACAAACACTCCTGACTTCCATGCCTGTGTGTACCAACATAAAAAAAATGGTTAAGGCTTTCGCGGCCGAAATTTTCAGTGTTACAATCTTCATTAGGGTTTGGAGGCCGTCGTAGTTTGGAACGGCATTCTAACGTTTCGTCAGCACGAATGGCTGGTTTCTTCAGAGGTTTATTGATTAAGATGAATGAACCTCTGAAGTATTAAGTACTTTTCTTGGTTATTCAAATTTTGTCTTCAGTCGAGGACCACCTGCTCGGTACTGACGATGCCCAATAGGCTGAAACAGCTGTCTACCGGTGGCAAATCAGTATGGGAATGATCAGAATTGTACTTATCTATTTATCTTTTGATTTTCATGGGATTATTTATGTTACATTGAAACAATTGGAACATGTCAAAACAATAAAAACAAGTCACTACATTGAACAAGGTTGACTTCTTACTGGAAATAAAGAAAATTATTGAATTAATAGTTTTTAAAAATCGTTATTTGTTTTAAAATCATAGATTACCATTAAAAGCCATGATAAGAACAAAGAGAGAGACTACAAACAATTGACAACGACAGCTGTCATATGATTTAGTTTGAACTGTCATGGTGCAAGTATGATCAGAGACATTTGGCTCTTATATGAGTAAATCAATGAGAAAACCCAAAATCAAATATGTCCAATTCAATATTAATTTATTGACGACACCCTTATTAGTTTTTGAGGAAAACAAGTGAAGAAGTGTTGTTGATTGAAAGTAAAACCCTGCTATAGGGAGGTTGGAAATT